TACCATCTGGATGCTGGTCTGGGCCTGTGCCTCAGGCTGGCTGCCTTCTACCCCCCAACAGCCCAACAAAGGAGACAGAGCTTTGGCTCACATCTTCGCTGGGATTTGAAACCCCAATTTTTCATGGTTCTGTTGTTATATCTTCAGTATGCTGGTGATACCCAATTATATATTTCTACCCCATGCTGGGCAATGATGTTCAAGTGCTGGTTCAGGGCCTGGAAGCTGTAAGGACCTGGATGGAGAGAAACTGTATGCAATTCAACACTAGCAAGGGGGAGGGGTTGTGGGTATCTCCTAGGGTCAGGAGAGTTGACATCTTGGATTCTGGAAAAGGGAACACTCATCTGGACAGATCTGGTTTGCAATTTGGGGGTCCTCCTGGACTTGTGGCTCCTACTGGAAAAGCAGGTGGCAGCTGTGATTGGGGCAGCTTTGCACAAATTCATCTTGCGTGCCAATTGCGCCCATTCCTGGACCAGGAGGCTTCGCTCATAGTCACCTCCCATTTTGATTACTGCAACACGCTTTAAATGGGGCTGCCCTTGAAGACCAACTGGAAGTTTCAACTGGTCCAGAATGCAGCGGTACCCAGTTCTGGGTACCCCATGGTTCATCTGAGTTACACCTCTACTGCATGAACTGCAATGGCTCCCAGTTGCTTTCCGGGTGCAATTCAATGTGCTGGTTATCACCTTTAAAGTCCTACAACATGGCACAGGGGCAGGTAATTTGCGGGACCACCTCTACCTAAGAGTATCTGCCCATTCTACTAGGCTAGACAGGGTGGGCATGCCCAGGTCCCTACCCTTAAATGTTGTCACCTGATGGGACGTTGGAGGCACACCTTTTCAGTGGCCGCCCCAGCCCTTTGGAAAAGACTTCCACTTGAGATCTGAGGGATCTTTACCCCTTTAGCTTTCTGCAGGGCTAGCTCTTCCCCCAAGCCTTGGGCTAGGATGAAGACTGAGATGGGAGGCTGTTCGGTCTGGTGCTTGGGGGGAAGGACATTTAAATGTTATTGTTTTTATGCATTGTGGTTGGCTGCCTAGAATCATGATGTGAGATAGACAGCTATGTAAGTCCTATAAATAAATAAACAAATAACGGGAAGACCCAAAATGGCAACTGATTTTTTTCTATGTAACAAGAGTATACTTATTTATTTGCTTGCGTGTGTGTATTTTCCTGCTTTCCATTAAAACTCATATGACATTTAGCTAATTTGCATAAGGGGGAGATGCATGCCAAATGGAAAACAAAACATGATTTTTCTTTCCTTTGAGAACTGCCAATGCCATTTTTATTTCTGGGCACAACTGGAAACAATTTTCAGGTACAACATAGTTGCCTCTTCTGAGTAGATGAATCCTGTCAAGGTTCAGATGATTAGGTTCAAGGGTTTGGTTCAACATTTTAATCTTATTATTCAAGAACCAAACCAAACACCAGTGTTGTAGATAATGAAAAATGCTGTCAGATAAGCAGCCAAGATGAAATGGTGAAAAAGCAGCTCTTTTGCATAAAAGTTTGTTTGTTTATTTATTTAGCTAGCTTATTGGCATACATGATGATACTTTTTCACTTTTCATTCACTGGAGACTTCTGTGTCTAAGTATGAAAAGGCTTTGGTGCTAACGTCCTTGGGCTAATGAACTAGTCCCCATGCAGCTGATCTGAGGTTGAGTTTGGCACTCTTGCTCTAAATAACAAATGTACAATGATTTTTTTCACATTAATGTTTCTCAATGAACTGCTAAAGATCAAAACTGCATATCCCCTGCTAGCCTAAACCTACGCTGCTCTCCTCACATTCTGCTCCTTGAAAGCGTGCAAGGGGTAACAATCAGAAATTGGTCAAATACCTTCCCAAGCACCCTTACAAACTAACTCCCCTGTAGGTTTGGATTAACTTTTGCTACCTTTCTGCTTGTATATGGGAACAATAATGCATTCTTCCAATCAGGGATAACCACTTCATAAATAAACTACATACATATTTTAATATTTCTCCATTTAATACCATCTACTCCTGTGTCTTATCATACACACACGCACACACGACTTTCTTTTTATCAATATTTTTATTGGACACTAACGTTTATAGCAGGTGTATTTGGGAATTTAATATCTCTATTACCATCACATTTAGGCCCCAAACTATTTCTAGATAGTAGATAGGGACACAATCTTGCAAATCAGCAATGGAGCACTGGTGCTTAATTTACTTTCCATTATTGAATTCCTAAATTATGTTGCCAGTCTAATAATGTTTTCCATTACTGCTAAACTGAAGTTCAAAAGATAACTCTATTAGTGGATGAACTATCCAGCCAGGATGTAATGGTTTGCTCTTAATTCTAGATACCAGGTAATCCCAAACCATCATAATAATTCTTGCTCAAGTAGAAGTTGGAATCAGCTGCTGCTAAATTCAGATGTGTCAAAGTGCCTACTTGGCTAAACCCAGGTCTCTTCATTCAGAAATAATTCTCACTGAACTCAGCAAAACATATTTCCCAGTTAGGACAGCAGTCTTAATGTTGAAAAAGTACAGAAAATTACAGACAGATATCCCTGAAAACAGATGAACTGTTTTTGTAGGAAATGTATTTTAATAAACAGAAGATTACTGACATTTATTCTTTTGTAGAAAAATTAACAATTATCTTATGGATTTGGAAGGGGAGATTAGATTCCTACCACTGGAGCTTTCTTTTCAAAGCTTCCCTCCCAGAAATACAACACAGATTGCTAGGTATCAACTGAACTTTCTGACGATTACTTTCTATAGCACAGGCTAGAGGGAAAAAAAAGTTAAAAGATACAGTAATACCTCAGTTCATGAACGCTTATGTTCATGAACAATTTGGTTCACGAACAGCAGCATTCGCAAAATTTTGCTTCCGTTCGCGAACTCCGTATCGGGTGACGAACATGACCTGCGGCCATCTTCCCTGCTCTGACACGTGGTCGTGGCTTCCTCTAGGCGAGATCGCAGTCGCAGACAGACCCTTGCTGTGAAGCTTTTGGGTGTCGCCTCAAGCAAGGTTAGTGTTCTCTCTCTTCATACTGTACTGTACTGTGGGGTGTGGCATATTTTTGTGGTTAAAAAAAAATACATATGGTACCGAACGGATTAACCTTATTTTCATACTGTACTGTACTGTGGGGTGTGGCATATTTTTGTGGTTAAAAAAAAATACATATGGTACCGAACGGATTAACCTTATTTTCATACTGTACTGTACTGTGGGGTGTGGCATATTTTTGTGGTTAAAAAAAAATACATATGGTACCGAACGGATTAACCTTATTTACATTGAACCTTATGGGAAAATTTGATTTGGTTGGCGACCAATTCGGTTGGCGACCACATTCGTAGGGGTCAGAACGGATTAACCTTATTTACACTGAACCTTATGGGGAAATTTGATTCAGTTCGCAACCAAAATCGTGGAACGAATTAAGTTCGTGAACTGAGGTACCACTGTACTTTGGATCTTCTTGATCGAAGTCTAGAAATACCTTGTTAAAAAGCCTGCACAGGATAAAGGCTTTAGTGATATATTCTCTTTTCTAAACAATACAGATAAGCGTAAAACACTTTTTAAAAAGAAATCAGGAAGAAAGAGTTATTATTCAAACACACAATTCTAAATTGGAGTCCATAAAGACAACCTAATTTATGTCCTTGGGTGTTACCTGCCTGAATAGGACTGGAGTTCAAAGATTATGAGGGTGAATTGGAGAGCAGATGGTCAGCATGAAAATACGTTGTCCCCCTCAGAAACATCCAGACTGAGTGCAATACTAATTGCTCACATACTAATGTGAATTTGAGAAGGCCATCTTTTTAGAGGAAACTGATAGTTGTTTTATGCCAAAGTACAATATCCTCTGTGTTTAGTGTCAGGGATCCAGCCAGCAAGTTGGAATATTACCTAAAGTTCTTAAAATTATATGTTTGCATTATAAAAGTACTTGCCAGTTCCAGCTGAATAAACTATTGTGTAAGAGATTTTGTTCTTTGCTCCCCAAATGATACCCATTTGGGGAACAAAAGTAAGATTCAGCTCTGTCATGTTTCCTGGCATGATGTCAATTTATTGGACATACTAGACTCATTATTGAGCTACACCAGAATATGGACTTCGTAAGATTTGCATTTTATCTTCCTATTTTCTCTAGCTCATAGCTAAACTTGGCTTATTCTCCTTCAGGCATAGAAACATTCCTTTAGTTATCCCCGTTAATTCTTCAGTATGCAAATACTAATGTAGTCAGTGTACAAATATCTACAGTAAGTAATTCCTTAGTTTCTTTTAATATGCCATGAAGTACTTGTTGCAAAAGAGGCCTACCAATAAAAATGTATGCCAAATATCCAAATTAATCTTTTAAGTTTCACAATGGTACCTGTGTATGCTAGTGTCATATGCATGATTTTGAAATGGTCATCTAAAGCAGTATTTCTCAACCTTAGCAACTTTAAGATGTATGGACTTCAATTCCCAGAATTCTGCTGGCTGTGGAATTCAGGCATGCAGGCTGTGGAATTCTGGGAATTGAAGTCCACACATCTTAAAGTTGCTGAAGTTGAGAAACACTGATCTAAGGCATTTCAGGAAGTATAATGGTACTAAAGGAACCTGTTATTCAGGAACCATACATTTCCTAACCACTAGTTACCAGTATAGTTTAGCATTACGTTCCCCATAAACAAATAGCAACAGTGGACAACTATTGGCACACTAATAGTATGCTAGCTTGCTAAGTGACATGAAACCCACAGACAAATGTCCTTGGATCTTCATTACCATGTCACATAATTTTTTCAAGAGGAATTTCAGTGGAAAAGAAGCAAAAAAGCGAATTTTGACAAGTAACAAAATAATGGCTTATTTAAAAGGTGAAGATGACTAGAACAAGTTACAACATTTTAGATCACAATTACAGGTTCAATAGTTGCTGGCAGGAGACAAAAAGAAACAACTTACCAACCACAGAAGCTCCTCTTTCAGCAAAAGCCAACGCATACGTTCTACCCAGTCCTAATATAAAGAAAAAAATAAAGTCTTTTATAATCCTGACAGTTTAAAAAAAAATCCAGGAAGTCAGCTTCAAGGGAGCCACATACAAACTTAAAAGCAAAATGTGGCATTGGTTATAGATACTCCTATCTAGTATCTGATGCAAAAAAAAAAAAAAATTAAATAGAAGCTGAAAAATGCCCAGTTCTGATGACACGGTGTTCTAGACCAGTGTTGCTCAATCTTGGCAACTTTAAGATGCGTGGACTTCAACTCTCGGAATTCCCCACCTAGTGTCCACATGTGTTAAAGTTAACAAGGTTAAGAAACATTGTTCTAGACTAATTTGGGAATTCCAGAAAGGCCACCAGAGAAGAAACTATCTGAAAAGGCAAACAGATTGCTTAGAACACAGCAAATTAGTAAATTCAATTAAGCCACCAGACTATAGAAGGTTTTCTCCTCTTCATACATCCAGAAGATATTTTCCACTAAAGAGGGAAAGAAAGTTGTTTTCTTCAGAAAGAGCTGCATGATACAACTGTAATTTTGTAAGAATTTAAAAAAGAAATCTTGACACATAACATGAGGAAATAACTTGAGGTTCTTTTCAGTACAAGTGAAATGGTTTAAAAGGCCCTGAAAGAAGTCCTTGACTAAACAGAAAAGGATACATATGAACTGAAATATTTTCATATAGTGGCCTTTTGTTGAATTTCTTCCTGGGATCATTCTTGAGGCTGTCTTCTCCACCCAAAGAAAATTATTGTAAAGACAAACTGGCTACATGGGTCTTATATTTAAGGCATTTAGAAATTAAAATCATCTTTTCAAACTGTGGCAAGATTGCTAATCAAGTTTCTTTCCATAGGAGATCACTGATCTGAATATATCTGAGAATTTCATTTTCAAGCAGAACTTGTGAATGATTCAATGTCCTTTTTTCAAGGAAAGTACAGTACAGAATAATTCTGCTGACCTGGCTTCAATTCATCTTTGATTATTGTATTTCTTTAGCCAACTGAGATCTTTAAAAAAAAATGGTTCCAACTTAAAAGTTGTCTTCTTTCTGCACTTTTTACAGTAGCTACAGTAGTACACAGTTATGTAGCCTCTTTCTTCTCCTTTATTACTAGTTTAGGCCAGTGATAAATTGTATTTCTAAAAATGTGAGCAATGTTAACAACTCAGTGAATTAATAAACTGATGATTTCATAATCAACTGAAGTTTGACTCTAACCTTGTACTATGAACAGATTCAGCGTACTGTATTTATATTTATCAGTGCAATTTTTTACATAATGCTCAGAAGTCCCATTAAGTTTCAGAGGGCTCTCTCAATTCACTACATTTGGGATTGTAATTTTACTTTGTTTTGCATACATATTAAGTATACTTAACAACCTACAAGTGGAGCAGGTTTTACTTTCACCCCAGCTCTCCAAAGATCTTAAATCTGCTCCAGAGGCCTGAGACCAGAATTGATTTGGAGTGTCTGGGCATGTGTAGAGATTGATAAAAAGTCCAAAACACTTACTAAAATGGTATATCTGGACATCTTATATTATTGTGTGAATCAAAACAGCCTGCCAATCTCACCCATATCTTGTGAATTTTATTTTTTCCTGAATTGAGTAATGTTTCAATACCCTTAGCCAAATGTCTGGCAAATTCAAACACATAATGGGATTTCTCCATTTAATTTTAAAATAGATTGCACTATTCACTGATTGGTTCTGGGAATCCAATGGGTGGTGATATTGCACTGAACATGATGAATCAGGATGCACCTTATGCTGAAGTATTAACAGAATTGTTAATTAGCCTCTGTCTCCTAAAGCCTGCTTTCCATAACTTAAATGGGAAAAAAGATTTATTTCTAATGGAGAAAGACTCTCACAAAAAATATCTTATTTGGCATAACTGGTTTGATGAGTCAGCGGCAGGTATAAATTATCACATAATCTATCTTTGTTATGCATGTTTGCTATCCGAATTGCTTCATCTCTGAATAGGCAGCTAAGCTATAAAGCTCTCTCACCTATCTCTTCCTAGCTAAAGTTAGAAATATTTCACAGACAGTTGAAGAATGGAGATGAAATTCTTCTTGCTATTCTTGTCTCAGTTCTAATTTTATATATACATATGGCTTTTAGAATTAGTAGAGAAATAATCACTAAAGAAAAAAGGGTTCAAATCATCTCCTTTTGAATAATGACTTGACTGTGTGAATGACTGTACTTAATTCACAGAATTCATTGCCAGGCAGGTTACGTGGGAAGTCTCCCAACTTCCAGGCTAAACCCAGGAACTACAACAGGTATGTGAACGGCTATTACTGTACATTGAGGTTCAGGATTTCACTAAACAATGGATCGTCACCACTAAATTATCTTCTTTCTGCACGGGGATCAGGCTGTACTTACAATGGTCTTACATTGGGTCTACTTGAAAGTAAACTCCGGGGAAGCATGGACAGAACTATACATTCAGTTTCACGTTCAAGGGCCGTTTGCCCGTAAGGAGAAAGGCAAAGCAGCACACAAGAAAGCTGCAAAGGTTTCCTTACAATCCATTTGCAATCAAGCAAACTTGGAAGGGAACCTCCGGACAACCTCCAGCCATCGGGACCCGCGACTTACCTCCCCCAGCACCGGTCACCAGAACCACCCGCCCGTCAAACCTCAGCGGAGAAGACATTCTGCTCCCGATCAATGCAAAACAACCCTTCAAGGAGTCCTACGGACGCAGAGCCTAAATGGGCAAAAGCTGGGCAAAGGGCGCGGAGAATGCGCATGCGTACACTAGCCTGCTGAATCCTGGGAAGCGTAGTTTGCTGATTCAACCCTCGGCTGCTGAGCTAGGCCGATTTAATCGCATGGCTGGCTGGGGAATTCTGGGAGTTGAAGTCCCCACGTCTTAAAGTTGCCGCGGTTGAGAAACACTGGGGTAAATGCTGTTCACAACATGCTAGGCAAAACGTGGTGGGCTAATTTATAATTGAGAGTGCCATGAGATGGGACAAATTATCGACCACATCTGGAGGGCACCGAGCTGAAGAATTCTCCCTGCCTTTAAACTAAGCCCTAGTACAGAAAGCAGGTCCGAGACCCACGCTATGGTTATGCAAGGCTCCAGTACAGTACATTCATTTCTAGACCAAAGGGGACCGTGAAAACATTCCTCCTCTCTTTCGTTGACGCCTTCCTTTGCACCGTAACTGCACGCCCACGTTTAATGCGGCAGTGGGAATGCATACGCGTGCACGCAAGCGAACATTCCCCACGCCTCTGCGATACTTCAAAATGAGGTTTCTCTGTGGGAGACCGACTGCCCAGTCCCAGATCCGCCTCTCTTTTTTCCCTGTTGAAACCCCGCGAGCCGCGATTCGGCTTTGGAGAGGGGAGTCCGGGGCGGGAAGACGAAGCTTCGACGGGCTGTGCCCGGGCGTCCTCCTCCTTTGCCGTCGTATTTTAAATCTCTCCGCTCTGGGCGGAATCCAAGACGCTCCAGATTACATGTTTTTTTAACCCAGTAGGGGGAGTATTGCATTGCAGGAGGCCAAGAAAGAAATCATTTTCCACCAGCGGCCTCTTCACTGGGGCCCGGCGCCATAATTTCATTGTACCCTATCGCCTTTCATTTTGGTATTTTGAGAGTCTGCTCTATGACTTTGGACATCTACTCCTGCTTAAAAAGCCAGAAAATGCAAGGCGCGGGATGATTAAAAAATGGATTCTTTGCTTTCAGTGGGCAAAGATCAATCAAATAGCAGATTGTAACTGCTGCCATAGGGTGAACTGTAAAAATAACTATTCAGCAATTGTAACCAAATCCACAGACATAACGATCACAGGCACAAATCCTAAAGTTTTCGAGATGGAAATCACCAATAAGTCACCAGGAAATGTGCTTAACCAAACGTTACCTTTTACACCCAAATAATGGTGAAATAATTTCTTGCTTCTGTGTAGCTTGGGATTCCTAATTTTTTCTGTGGTCATAAATATAATTTGATGCAGGTTTTGTGGGTAGCCCTTGAAAAAGTCAAGGCAATCTTAAACTTTACATATTAATATATAAACACTTCAGAAGAAATCGGATGGTTTTAGAGGAAAGTATTAGACTTATTCTGATGAATAGTTCTAATATCATAGAAAAAGACAGTGCTGAACACTTAGAATGGGATATCCGTGCCTTCAGCAGGTGTATTTGCGATGGAAAAAAAAGCTTGCTTGAATTTGAAAACAATATGTAACCTAGTTGAAAAATCCTATTTAGAATACAGAATACAGAATACTTTAATGGCCAAGTATAAAATATATACAAGGAATTTATCTTCGGTGAAAAAACAAACAGCAAGAGCCACAGTGTGTTTGGATAACAGCAGAAAGAAGGAATGATAATAAGCAGTAACGCTACACAGTAGAATAATGGCACCGCCATAATATATACAAGGAATTTATCTTCGGTGAAAAAACAAACAGCAAGAGCCACAGTGTGTTTGGATAACAGCAGAAAGAAGGAATGATAATAAGCAGTAACGCTACACAGTAGAATAATGGCACCGCCATGGGCTGACACCAGTTCATTTTCGAAAGGAGAAGCCACTGTCCAGCGCATATCTTATCATGTAGTGTTTAGCAGAGCAATGGCACGAGGGAAAAAACTGTTCCGGTGTCTAGATGTTTTAACATAAGGTGCTCTATAGCACCGTCCTGAAGGAAGAAGTTGAAACAGTTTATGTCCAGGATGGGAAGAGTCTGCAGATATCTTCTCTCAAAGGTCTTCATGACCACAGATGTCAGTGCAACAGATCTGTAGTCATCCAGCTCACTGATGGAGGATTTCTTAGGAACTGGGATGATTGTAGAGCTCTTAAAACAGGAAGGGACATAAATCATCTCCAGCAATTTATAAAAATGTGTGTGAAAACGGGGGCCAATTGTTCTGCACAAGCTTTCAGACAGGAGGTGGTCACAGGTTGGTACTGTGAGAAGGAAATCAAATTCTTCTCCCCATGTTAGCAGGAAGTCAAAGCTTCCCATTTGTCTCACCCTACCATTGTTTATCTTAACAGCAGTCAAGGCATATGACTAAATTATAGTAAGAATGGGCTCACCTAAAAAGATTAAGACCTACCAGAAAGAATCAAGAGTCCTCCACCCTAGCCCCAAATTAAACAACTGAAGACCTGGCAGGAAGGGCCAACATTCCTTAAACCCAAAAAATCGAATCATAAAAAGATTTCTTCCCGAACAGATCTGCATTCCAATTAGACAATATCAGATAAGGCAAACGCAGGAAACCCCAGCTTAGTAGGGTGGCTGACCTTAGAACCCTCCGTAGTCAATTTCACCAGCGAGCGCTCTCTCCTGGAATCCTGGCTAATTACCTTTTCTAACAAATCCTAGAGGTTGGGTTTTCCTTCGCACCTTTTGAGGATCTTCCCTATAAAAGGGGATTCCTGGAAACCCCCGATGCAACCGCCACAACAGCTGATCGTCTTGTGTATCTGGCTCTCGGAAATAAAGTTTTGTCTCTCCTTCAAGCAACTGCCTGTGTGTTTATTCCCGGCTCAGAGACGAACCTCGAAATTTGCATTCTAACAGTATAAATAGAGGCGGCTTGTTTAAATAATATGAACAAAACTATATTATTTCATTGAGAGGTATCCAGAGATTGTGTTAGATACTACTGAACTTGCCTTTGTTTTCCTTAAGAACTGAATCATAATTACATAAATTTATTTAGTTAATATCTTTTCTTCCATATCTGAGAGTGCCTTATGGGTACCAAACTATGACAAAACACGGAGCAGAGAGCTGTGATTTGACTGATCTTTTGGGTATAAAACAGAAAGTTTCCTTGAACTGACGTCAACTCATTGTGTCTTCACAGACAACTTTTATCCTCCACATGCTATTTGATGTCTAGGTGTACACATCATAGTTTAAGCATCATTTATTGAATAAAACATAATTTGCTTGTTTGACAGAACCAAACCAACCACATTGCTGTGGCTTGCTAAACATAAGATCTGATTTAGAAAGGGATATGATAATTCCAGTCAGCACAGAAGCATCATTTATAGAAAAGGACTGAGCTCATCCATACAAAAGCATAGTATATGACAGTGGCATATGTCTCCATCAATTATGTTTTGTTACTCAGTAGTGAGGCAAACATATTGAAGATGATTAAAGACATACCATCTTTGATGTTTCCAGGCTCAAGCCCTAAAAATGGTTTCATTAGACATGTGTATAACACTAGATTTCATAATTACTTTGCTGTCTGTATTGACCTTAACTGCAACACCGGGCTAGAAACTGGGAGACCATGAGCTCTAGTCCTGCCGTTGGCACAAAGCCAGCTGGGTGACCTTAGGCCAGTCCCTCTCTCAGCGCCCTAGGAAGGAGGTAAGGGCAAACCACTTCCCAAAATCTTGCCAAGAAAACTGCAGGGTCTAGTCCAGGCAGTCATGCGGAATCAACACTGACTCAAAGGTATGTACAAACACTGTACTGACCTAAGCCAGTTATGACGGTTCTTTAGCATTCTCTTTTTGGTAGAATGAATCTGTTTTCAAGAATAATTGTTAACATAAATTCTGATAAAATAGTTTTATCCTATTCTGAAAGTTTGGAGCAGCACATATGCAAATAGGGTTTTATTTCAGTAATAATTGATTTCTTATTGCAATAGGTAACACCACCTATCTAGCTTCATCTGATTTTTTTAAAGCTAAGCAGGAACATATGGGAGACTGTTTGAAGATCCCATGGTTATAGACTAGACCAGGCAATAGAAGAACAAGTACTGAAAGAAAGCAGTGGCAAATCACTTCCATCTTGTTGCCAAAGAAGACTAGATGGACTAATCCATACAGCCATCTTAAGTTGAGCTTAAGTCAAGAGAGTATTTTTAATTATCTTTTGCAGGAAAAAGGCCTATGAAAACTAAAGGATCTGTACTGAGCCTGAAATTAGCTGCTTGGATTTTCTTTAATTCTAGCATAAACGTAGACATCATTGTTTCATTAAGGGAACAGGTACCTCCTTTTGTTAAAAGCAGTCTTACCTCCAGAAGCATCCAGAAATATGTATTTTCACTCCCAGAACTAGCAATTGCCATATTTGCTGAGAATTTGGGGAATTGGACCATACATCTGAGAGTACCAAGGAGAAGTCTGATTCAAAGCTTCAATTTTTACATTCTCCAGTGGTTTGGAACACATTTTACGGAATTTTTGCAGCAATAATACTTCCTGTAACGTGTGACAAGTTGCTAATTTGGTACAGAGCTAATACAGATGCATCAGAATAACTTGTAGTTTCCTATTTTTTTGCTTCAAAAATAGTAAAGTCATACATTTGTCAGACCCACATAGTTGACCATCTGTCATCAACATAAGCTAAAAAACTTCTTCCTGAATGTGATGGCAAGCAAGAGGTATTGTGCAATGGCACAGTGAGAAGTTAAAAACAATTTGGCAAATGCAAACATTTTGAGAAGCACTTAACTCTCTATTTTCTTAAGAATGGTCTGTTCTCTTCTGTTTAGCTGCAAGGGTGGAGCTTTGTACTTGCAGTGCACAATATATGATTTTTTAAAATACAGTAACTGATGCCTAAGGTACAAGCATCACGATGTCCTAACATACTGGTTTTTCTTGTTAGGCTGGTCCAAAGAGCACTAAAAAAAAAAAAAAGACAACTTGTCTGCTAGTAATTTAGTTATAAAGAATTCAGTTAAGAAAGAATGCATAACGTTAATACCATCTACCATGTGCTTTCTTCAGCAAATTAATCTGTAGAATCGCCACAGTATGCCATAAAACATTAAAAGTGATTTGGGAAAGAGAAACATAAAATTATATAGATAGATAGATAGATAGATAGATAGATAGATAGATAGATAGATAGATAGATAGATATATAGATATAGATAGATATATAGATATAGATAGATATATAGA